TGTAAACAATCTAACCTGTTTTTTCCAAAACTTTAAATGCCCATCTTGGCTAGCAGTAATAACGAAGTCAGTTTTTGTGACAATAATATGTGTTACCACGTCCCGATGCATGTAACTTCGCTCGTAGGTCTCGGAGTTAGGAAGGTTCTCGATATACAGAGATTCAAACTCCAGCACTGTAAACAACAACAACACTGCTCAGTAATACAAGTTCCCAAGCTAAGTACACATCAAAACATTAGCAATATATTACTGAGGACGTTTTAAGAGCCAAGTATCTTCAAGCGGAACATTTTTATTTATTAAAACCTTTTCGTTTCTTCGGTTTGGGTTTTGCCGCCTCAGAGGGCATTGGTCCAATCCAGCCATCCCCGTCATCTGTATCTTCATTAGTATCTACACTTGTATGTCTTTTTTCTGCTGCTGACATTTTATTTATTTACTGTAACAATTATTAGAGTTAAAAAAATTACAAAATATTAACCTAACCAAGCAAGTCCCCAAATCAACTTTTTTTTTTTTTTTTTTTTTTGTGCGGCCCATCCCGCGCTACCGGCCGCGCTACTACGACCGCGGCCAGTTCAACAACCGCGGCCAGTTCGGCCCGCCGCTGGGCCTGGGCTCCTCCTACACTAGAGGTGAGGTGTGACGCTCGAGGCCACGTGCGGCCCATCCCGCGCTACCGGCCGCGCTACTACGACCGCGGCCAGTTCAACAACCGCGGCCAGTTCGGCCCGCCGCTGGGCCTGGGCTCCTCCTACACTGGAGGTGAGGTCTGACGTCATAGTTATGACGACACGATACGAAATTGTGCTGAAAATCAGTTTTGGGACACAAATGTGTTGATACTGCTACTTTTTACCCGACTGCGCCACAAGTAGATGTTTTGTTTCTTAGAAAGCTTTTTCGCACTTCGTCCGATCCGAGTTCGTCAAAATACGGACCTAGAAAACTAATAAAGAAATCGGATGACAGATATCGGATCTAGTGCGTATTGTCAGAGTAAATACAGTAGGTCATCTTCATAGAAACGCACCGAGCGCGGTTTGATGACCTACTCATTTGTATTTACTCTGGTATTGTTTTCAGGGATTGAAAACGCATTCTAATCGGACGTAGTGCGGAACTGTTCTTACTGTGCTGTTTTAGTGCTAAACCGGTCTTACTCTGCTGTTTCGTTTCTTTTTTTTTTCACAAATCATTAATCTTTTCTATTCTCAATCCAGTCCGTCTAAACTACAACCCGTACCTGAACAACGAGTCGGGCCGAGTTCATCGAAATACTTTATTTATTTTATTTTATTTTTATTTTACAAGGAAAACAATACAGTGTTGAAACTATGTAGACTAACATTTTAGAAAACTTATAACCATTAACATGTTTTCACATTTAGAGCCTGAGTAATGCTTGTTTATCAATAAAAAAATAGAAAAGAAGTTACCAAGCCAGAGTTACCTACTACTAATTAAATTAAAGCTTAATACAAAAAAAAGCACCTTTCAAGAATGTACATCAAACCAGTCTTTGAAGAGATTTCGTTTAACACTATTTATGCTGGAATTGAATAAATCAATATCGGAATCGCCAGCCATAAGGTTAAAGACATTAGCAGCTCGAATAAAAAATGAGTTCTTCCTGTAATTGCTATTACTATGAGGAACAGAAAGAGTAATGGGTCGTCTTAAAGTCCTGCTAGGAGCACGTAGATTTATTAAAGAAAGGAGGTGTGGGGAATCGATCTTACATTGGGCTACTTTTAATAGAAAAATGATGTCTGCTATTTTGCGTCTATCTTGTAGCGGTAATATGTGATGTCTGCTACACCTCCCTATGTAATTATCAATGTAAGTCTTGCTCTTGTACTGTAAGTATCTCATAAATTTCCGTTGGACGCACTCCAGCCTGTTAATGTAAATATTATATTGCGGATTCCAAATCTGTGAACAATACTCGAGGATGCTACGCACATATGAGCAATATAACACCTTTGCTACTTTTACACTTTGGAATTGAGAACAAGAACGCATGATAAAGCCCAAGGTCCTAGTGGCTCTCTTAACTACACTATCAACGTGCAGCTCATAAGTTAATTTGGAGTCATGTATTACGCCGAGGTCCCGAACTTGGGTGAGNAAATCACCAGAAATTAAACAAGGTTTAGGTAAGTTATTGATTATAGTCTTAAGTTTCTGTAATCTAATATTTCTTCTATTATCAGTTCTAGGAGGACAGTAAACACATAAAATAGAAATAGGACCCATTTCAGTTAAAACAGAAATTGCAACATTTTGAACATCTTGATAGAAATTTGTATCAATAATTGAATACTTAATTTTGTTGTTTATTAAAATGCCTACACCACCATGTTCATTATCTGCATTTTTAAAAATAAAATTATAACCAGGCAAAGCAAAATGTTTATTATTTTTAAGCCATGTTTCATTAAGTAGGCACACATCTATATTGTGATTCATTAATGTACTTTTTAAAAGAGACTTTTTATTACATAAACTCTGAATGTTATGCTGCATTATTCTCAAGAAGAGGAAAGATTTTTAATTAATTCCTCTTTTATGTGCGCCGATGTTTTTATTTGGCTTGAATTGCCCAAAGTAATTAAAGTTTTAACTATGGCATCTAATAATTTTGAGTTATTTACAATATTCTGTACATCACCAATTGCTGATGTTGGTTTGCTCTTTGTTTTGTTATTTTGAGATATTTCATTTTGTGTTGCCTGGGACCGTTGTTGTGGTAATGATGGGAAATCATTTTTGCTCAATAAAGAGGCATAAGTTCTATTTGAGTTTTTATTTTTATGCAATTCCTGTTTTTGGGTTTTGAAAGGGCACAGTTTTGAAATGGCCAAGTGCGAACCTTGGCAGTTACTACACTTAATGACTTCAGAAGTACATTCCTTATGACTGTGATTACCAGAGCACTTAGAGCAGACCTGTTCATTACGACAAATTTTTGCTGAATGATTAAATTTGAGGCATTTAAAACATTGCATTAGAGGAGGCACGTATTTGAAAACTTTATAACGCCAATTGTCTAAATAAATATATTGAGGAAGTATGGTTCCTACAAACGTGACCGTGATCGTTGTTAGTGGAACAAGTTCATCTTGTTCCTGTTAGGATTATATTATCTTTGGAAGTGTATTAAATATTAAAAAGTTAACTGTTTCCGGTAGAACGCTCTTCCCTCTTCCGGCTATGTACGAACAAGATGTGTCTGTGTAAGAACCCGAATAATAAATGCTTATCTCGCTAACTATCGGTCTTTTCATTAAAGAAACACAAGTTCTGATAGGTTATGGGCCCAGACGCCCGTTAGTTAGAGTTAGGGAAAGTTTTAATTGTAGATTATTCGGGAAAAAGCGGATTTGTGAAATATAAAAATGGCGATGTCAAGTAGTAACACGCCGCTACCGCAATTGAGTGCAGGGGCATACGACAACTGGGTTTTCAGGATAAAATGCATACTCGCAGAAAAAGGTCTAACAGAAGTTTTGGATATAAAGAAAATAGTAGACTGTGATGAGAAGATGAAACTCATGGATGCAAAAGCGAGAAGTATCATCGTCCAAAGCGTGACAGACCAACACTTAAACCTGATAAAAGAAAGCACAAGCGCGAAAGAAATGTTAGAAGTTTTGAAAAACACATTCCAACGAAACACGGTCATATCAAAAATATGCCTAAGAAGAAAGTTATTGACTTTGAAACATACAGGAAAATTAGAAGAATATTTCGCCAATTTCGACAATCTTATAAGAGAATTAGAAGTGTCAGGAGAGAAAATTGCAGAAAATGAAAAAATCAGCTACCTCTTAACTGGATTGGGAGAGGAATTCAACGCAATAATAACAGCAATGGAAACGGTAAACCAAGAGCTAAGGCTCGACTTCGTAAAGTCTAGATTGCTTGACAATGAGATAAAGAGGGAATATAGTAGCACAGAACCACAATCTTCATTTGTCATCAAATGCTATACATGCCATAAAAAAGGGCATAAATCCTTCGAGTGCAAAAGCCGAGGACGAGGCAGAGGCCGCAGATATAGAGGTACTACAAGAACACAGTATAATGAAACAGCACAA